CGCGGAGCGGGCGCCCGCCGCCGGGCCGCTGCTGCGCTGGGACGAGGTGCCGGCCGACTTCGTGGAGTGCTTCATCCTGTCGGGCTACCGGCGGCTGCACTGCACGGCGCAGGAGTGCCTGGCCTCCGTGCTGCAGCCCACCAACGAGACGCTCAACTTCTGGACGCACTTCATCCCGCTGCTGCTCTTCCTCAGCCGCTTCTGCCGCCTGCTGCTGCTGCGCGGCGCGGCCGAGCTGCCCTTCCACCACCCCGCGCTGCTGCCGCTCTGGTGCTACGCCTCGGGGGTCGTGCTCACCTTCGCCATGAGCTGCACGGCCCATGTGTTCAGCTGCCTGTCGCTGCGCTTGCGCGCCGCCTTCTTCTACCTGGACTACGCCTCCATCAGCTACTACGGCTTCGCCAGCACCGTGGCCTACTCCTACTACCTGCTGCCCCACCTTCGGCTGCTGGACGCCCGAGCGCTGAGCCGCTACCTGCAGCAGCACCTGGGCTGGTATGTGGACTGCAGCTTGCCGCTGGCTCTCTACAGTGCGCTGGTGCTGCCCGTGGCCTTTGTGCTGGCCGTCACGTGCACTGTGGCCTGCTGCCGGAGCCGCTCCGAGTGCTGCGCCTACCCTTTCGCCATCCGCACCTTTGTCTTCGCCATGCCGCTCAGCATGGCCTGCCCCATCATGCTAGAGAGCTTCCTCTTTGACCTGCGGGCGCACAACCCCACGCTCTTCGTCTACTTCTACCGCCGCTACTTCTGGCTGCTGGTGGCCGCCTTCTTCAATGTCAGCAAGATCCCTGAGCGCATCCAGCCGGGCCGCTTCGACATCGTGGGCCACAGTCACCAGCTCTTCCACATCTTCACCTTCCTCAGCATCTACGACCAGATGCACTATGTGGAGGAGGGGCTGCTCAACTTCCTTAAGGCGCCACCCACTGCCCCCACCTACCTGGGCACCGTGGGCTACATGCTGCTCCTCATACTGTGCCTGGGGATGGTCATCAGGAAATTCCTGAACGTGGCAGATCTCTGCAAGCAGGACTAGTTGGGCCAGATACTTTCCTTGCCCTCCTTCCTAGTCCTGCTGTTTCGAGAAGATGCTGCAAACCTGAGGTGAAACCCATTGGCAAAAGAGCCCACTCCCTTCCAAGGGGGGGGAGGGTTGCAAGAGGAAACCACTGGTTGCCAACCTGCTAGAAAACTCCTGCTACCATTTAAACCACTAGGCCCTGAGAGGAAGTGATCAAGCCCTGCTATTTAACAACCTGCTGCTGCTGCCTTGCTGTTAGGGTATGGGCAGAACCTGTGTAGCACTACTGTTCAGTCTACTAGGAAACAATAAAATGCATGGACTGTGAATGCCACTTACTAACTTCAGGCCAGCTAGTCTGGTTAGGAGATGTTATTTAAATTAGCAATATATGCACATGCAATGATTATTAGTAGGTTTTTAACCAACTCCTATGTGGAATTCCTATCAGATTATGCACTGACATTTTCTTCTGTGCTACTGGAGTACCTCTTTGAGGTTATGAGCACTGAAACTGGATTTTAAATGCAAACAAACTGACAGCTTTCTAGCTTTTGTGGTATTGTAGCCTCTGTGGCTAGTGAACTCAGTTGAGTGGACACTACTGTTAGAATTTTACGGAGAGAGGGGTAAAAAATATGAATGATGAAGTTGTAACCTAATCAAGGATGTCTGGTCAATTGTAAGAGTGAAGGTTGAGTGGCTGATGTTGCCATTCAAGTCCAAAGTGAAAATCTAGAGCCAGGTCCTTAGCTGGTGTGGTTTGGCACAGTGCCATTGAAGTCATTGTACCAGTAAGGGATCAAACCTATGTAGTCAAAACCCAGTTGCCGTACTCACACAAAGCATTGAATGTAAGGAGAGTAGGATTTGGCCTACAGGCCTTCAACCCTACATTTTTTTTTTTTAATTATGAAGTATATAGATCTGGCTTTTGCTCTTGAATTGGAGCAGTCAGGTACTGCCATCCTGCAACTACTTACAGAATAAGGTACTATGGAACATGAGTACAGGAGGCAGAATCTGGCTGTCTGTGAACACTAGGTATTATTAGTTTGATATACTTCTGCATTTTCCTAATTCAGTATGCTGCTGCAGCAGCTGGGTGTTTTTTGAAGGCCTACCTATGGGGCTGTGCCCTAGGCTGCGGAGGATCTGGAGGCTGGACTTTCCTTGAGTCACCATATTTTGCAGGATAACAACCTTACTGATGAATAGTTTGGGTTGGGGTTGTTTTTTTTTTTTTTGGGGGGGGGGTTGTTTGTTTTTAAATGCAGCTATGATAAATACCTTTTCACAGCAACTCAGGCATCACCTTCCTGAAAATTCCGTTCTTGTTAGTGACCTAACATACTATCAATACTAATAAACCTAGGCAAACTTTAAACAGGGTTATAAACAGAAACATTTTAACCTGATTCAGCTAGATAAATAACCAGTATGCAATAACATAATAGAAGGAAATTGCATCTTGACGTTTAGATAACAGATAACGTGTACTTAATTTTCAAAATGTATGGTCATTCCTCAGTAGAACTCTAGCCCTGTATTGTACAGGAGCCCAGTTGCTCTTTACGTGCAGCATATTTATCTCTATGTAGAAATACATTTCCAGCTGTATATTTATGTCCATGCATGATGTGTTGTCTCACTTAGGCATAACTCTCATTGTCTTCAGTAGGAGTTCTGCCTGACTAGGGAATATAGGATCATGCTTTTAATTTGGGGTTGGAGTCCTCACGCAAACATGATTGTGAAAGTTGAATGCACCAATGACTTACTTTTAGTGGTGGAACTACCTCTAGTACTGTGGAGGGACAGTTTCATATGGACAAAAATGCCTTCAGGGTCTCCACTTCCATGAAAAGTGGGAGTTGGGTATCTTAACTCCTATTTAGGTCTCTAACACTGTTTCCAAGAATACTTGAGTAGACTTCTCCCAGGCACAAGGCAGGTAGGCACCTGAAAGACTAACTGCTTCAGAAGCGCATATGTTTCTGTAGGCGAGAGCCTATTTTGTAAGATGCTATGGCTTTTCCCACTGTAAGTAGCAGTAGGACTCCCCAGTCCAATGACTTTTTCAATTCCCTCTCATGTGAGGCTCAGCCCTGAAGGCCTTTCATTCCTAGAACTCCCACTAAAACAAGAGAGAGTTTGGAATTTGCAGGGGGCTTGTTTCCATTAAGAGGCTTAAACTGCTTGAACTCATAGATGTACTTTCCTGTTCACTACTTACTTTGGAGGCTACTTGGGGCAGAAAATTTCCCAGTCCCATACCATTGATGTGACAGTTATTGAGGCATCTTAGGCCCAGTATGAAGGGTTTTCTCTGATGCCTTGTAAAATGGGAAGCTGAAGGAAAAGGAGGCTTCACTTGCTTCACTTTCTCTGTCTAAATACTTTTTAACTATTATGGTAAAATGGGCATTATGGAGCTACAGTATTTAATAATGCAATGAAAATATATCGCATTCATTCTTTGTCTGTTGTTGAGTTGTTGACACATCACTTGTGGCTGGGCCACTTGTTGTGTTATAAAAAATATAACTAAATTAGATGAATCCTTGGATCCCAAGCTGTGATCCATGGGCATTACTGGCCCTGCGCTGCTGTATACTTTTTTCCAGATGCTAAACTGCATTAAGAGATGCTAGAACTACATGAACTATTTTCCTGATATTCTTCCTCCACAAATGATTGTCATTGCCCTAGGGATTTAACTCACTTGGCAGTAAGACAGGAGGGGGTCTACACAGCTGTTAATAGGGATGGATGTTAGTCCATGAGAAAAATCTCTCCATTCAGATGTGGTCCACATTGTTAAATAAATAAATTGCAAGCTCTTGTTAAAAATAAATATAGGGCCAGATCTTGGAACTGTGCCAGGTTACAGCCCCCCAGTCCCCAGCTACATGGGGGGTGCATGCAGAGCTCCTGACGTTCAGACCCATAATATTCATCATCTCTTACTCTCCATATATTATGCACATAGACCGTGCTTGATATGTTAAGGACAATGCTGATGTTTCAAATACGATGCACTCACTTTAGAAAAGATTTTTTAGCCCTTATGTAGGATGGCTTATATAGGCTTCAAAAAAATCATTTATTTGAAAGATTTACTTAAGAAATGCCATTAGGACATCCAACCCCCAATTAAGAACTGAACAAGAAAACAGGACGGCCAAGGACAACAGTTCTCAATGCTAAGAGATGGCTCAAAACAGCTGAGTGTACAAGCTAAATGTAAAGGAAGTCTCTAAAGCATATTGCATAATGAGTTTTATTTGTGCTTGTCAGTCATGATGTAGAGGACATCTCAAGAGGCAATGTCAGAAAGGCCATGCCTAACTTGTAAAAATACATTTGATATTTTCAGTTAAGCCATGTGATATCTATATCTATATATAGATATCTAGATATCTTCATTATCACTGACAGGTTAGTAGTTGAATTGACTAGATTGCAGTTATATCTGGAATCCTATTTACATTCATAAATGATGGTTAAAACTCCACCTAATTTGCAGATTTGGCACAAATAAATAATATTAAGAATATTGCTTCATTCTAAACCTTTCTGTTCAGCAACATTTTTAGAGACAGGTTTAACATCTAAGCCCATTGTGAGATGATTTGGGAAAGTTGATTGCAAGTATTGCTCCCAGAGTCATTGCCAATGGGCTGGAAAATGTATGGGGAGAACTGATTGAGTTGTCAGAATTCTAACTAGTCGTTTTTTGTTTAAAATGCAGATAAATAAATGGTTACCATGATAATTGCCACACTTCTCTGCATAATTTCTAAGGCACTATTATTTGAATGTCTATTTTTTAAAGGGCGCACACAATGATAATAGCACAATTTGATATTTTGATGGCCAGCTTTTCATAAATATGGATAAAAAAATCATAATTGCATTGAAAATGTTAAAGGTGGGACAAGCCATTCACAACTCTGACATCCAGTCCTGCTCTCATGGAAGTGAATAGCAAAATCCCTAATGGCTAAGTGGGGGAACACTACCCATCCTAGATTTAACAAGCCTGCAAAGAGTATTTGGTGCCTCTATGGGCACATCCACACCACGGACAAAAGGAGTGATCTGTGACAGCTAGGAGCTAGAAGAGCATTTGAGGAGACAAAAACACTTGCCAGAAAATGCATTTGTAGCATAGGGAGTAGAGGGAGAAAATTCTGTTCCTGGCCAGCTCCAAAACTTAAAAGAATCCACGTTAGGCATTTTTTGAAGGTACATGCAGATAAGCATTCTGGATTGGGGTCTTGGACCCTCATGATAAGGCCTATACATGTGTATGTAAGGTTTATTTCTTGGCCCATCAGTGGCTTATGTGGGGAGCTAGCCCCTACAATGATAGCACACAATGACGTTGCTTTTTGTGATGAGCTTGTATACCTAGAATTGTAGCTCAGATGATGTGTAGATGATGGCACCTAGCTTCCAGCTGGTTCAGAACAACATGTAGCATTTGAAGTAGAATAGAAAAAGGTCAAGTGAGTAACATACCTGGCTTCTAGCAACTCCTCTACACTGGTGTGGCAAAGCTGAAATTCTTCAGGTGCGAAGCTTGGTGTATTCATTTGAATGTCAGCACCCAAAATGTCCACTCAGCTCCCAGCTGTTCCATGACACAATTTGCATCTGTGCTTTGGAAACAAATTGAAAGGTTATAGATGCACAGAGTTCTTGTCTGCATGCTGTGAGCATAGCAGTTTAGAAGTTTGGACTAGGAACCTTCATTATTTATTTTCTCTCTCATGCAAGAATGTTGTTTGTTAGTTTAAAATGTCCACTTCATCATTTCTTTGCTGAATCCAACCTAATGTATCATGTTTATGTCCACAAGAGCGTGAGTTTGAGAGTTAGCTTCATCTTTTTTATAAATTCTAGTGCAGTAAAATATTCCAAGCAGTGCACTTGTAAAGAATTATTACACTATTTTACTGCTTAAATTCACTTGGTTGCCATCCACATGCCTTAAAACATGAAATCATGCATGGAGTCATATTTCATGTCTTGGGGCCACTAAGAGTCAGCAAGGCCAGGTGGCCATAGGAGCCAGGAACTCCTTATGTTCTAACCCCAGCTTTGCCACTAATAGCTCTGTAACCTTGGGCACATTATTTAAACTTTTTGAGGCAGATTCAATTAAGTTAATGAAAATATGTTGGAGTGTATTTGACCTTCTGCATCTCAGTTATTCCAGCTGTAAACTGGGTATAATAGACCTTACCTACCTCATAGGCTTGTCCTGAAGCTTAGCTAATGTTTTTAAAGCACTTAAAATGCAAAGTTGCTAAGTAATATTAATAGAACTATGGCACAAAGAATGTCATATTCTGTGGGGTTCATTATCTCACTGATAAAGGAACATGAATGTTTCTAGAGTCCAGAACTCTTAGAATCAACAACTAGACAGGAAGATGGGTCCATCTTGCAAAGGCTGTGATCTGATTTCCTGTGATATCTATGGCAAAACTTCTATTTAGTTTAGTGGGAAACTGTCCAGCTCTAAATGAATAGTAAACTTTTATTCAAGATGGTTAATGGGAAAGAGTTGTGAAGGATCAGGGAAAGAAGGAAAGGAAAGTTAAGCAGTGCTTCTTTACATATAGAAATTGGATTAGCAATTCATTTGTCCAGACCAGCCCTTTTACATTCATCTGAGATCTGGTTGTTCATGCAGGGATCTGGTAGTGTTCAACATTGCTGTGAAGACGATGGAAAAAGATTGTCATCGGTGGCAGTGGAAGTAGGATCTGGCCTCAAATGTGTTTGAGCTCAGATAGCTCTTAACAGAGTACTGAAGAGCTGTTGCTCCAGTCCTTAATGAAACATATGTAAGAGCATTTACAAAAGGACAAGCTTGGACTTCTGGGTGAGGAAAAGGTACTGGAATCATTTCAGGCCCTTATATCTGGTGAAACTAAACTAAACTGTTTTTATGACATATGTATCCACTCCCTTAGCCAAGCATCCCTAATAGATCCTTCACCCATTTTGCTCTTCCTTCTTGAAATCCTTTGTAACCCATAGTTAAAAATAGTGCAGTTCAGTAGGTAAAAGTGAAGAGTTTCTAGGGGCTTCTTCTAATTAGCGGTGAGAATAAGGCCCAGGGGAAAATAGTAATTTAGCCAATTCCCCATTCTTTAGTAATTTAATCTTAGCTTCCATGTCATGTCTGCAGGTCAGGGCTGCCAATTTCTAAGTCAAGTTGCAACTACATACAGTGAGTGTCAGAACCTTCCTTTATGCTCAGCTGAGATTTTAAGGAAGTTTTTACATGGACTTATACTTACAGACCTCCCTTCAGTATTGTCAGAATTTTGTTGGAGGTGGGTACAGAGAGCAGCAAAATGACATGCATGGACATGCTAACCATTTGCCAAGATAGATCTTGCTCTGTTCCATCAAATCCAGCAGTAATTTATCAGCTGACTAAAATGAGATCAAACATTTGCCTGTAATTCTTGATGAGGGACCACCAGCAGAATTCCACTTCCCTGGCAATTTCAGTTTGCCTGGCCATATTAAAAACTAAAGGGTCCTTACATTGTGTATTCCTAGTGTAGATGAATGCCAGGGAGTTTGTAGTTGTAGGTGGGAGTCAATAGGATGGAGGGACATAAGGAACATACAGTAACAGTCTCATAATTGTATCTGCTAGTGATACAAGCACACTTTTGACAATGAGATCTCATATATAAGAGTCTGTGCATGCAGCTGACCAAAAATAAGGGTTAATCTTCATTTGTTTGATTATTTTTCTTTTGTTTTTTGAACAGTTTGTTCTTTGCAAAATTTTGGATGCTGACTACTATAAAATTACTATGCATTTTTAGCAAAAAGAAATGTGAGCTATAAATAAAGTTGTTTCTGAACTATTTTTTGTAGAAATGCATTTATACTGTTTGTTCATTTCCTTCTATAAGCAAGCGTAAGGGCAATGGATCAGAAATTCACCTTAGCTGAATGGCCATTGAACTAGTTTGATTAAGGCATGCCGGTTTTGGGAGCCAACTGCACACAAAGATGTGATATGCCTAACCATTGGCTTTCTTTGACTTCCTAACCTAAGGGCATTTATACATGTGCTTCAGGAGTGGAGGGGAGGAGTACTTTAATTAGAGCAGCTCTAAGAGCTGCTCTAATTGAAGCACCCAGAGTCGCATGT